AATAAGTCCAAGTACACAGAACAAGTAAGGAATAGGGTTGGCCTGGTCCCAAAAGCCATGCCATCACCGTTGCCCCATACTGTCTCTTGGCACAGGCAGAGGTCATGCCTTATTCATCACTGCTACTCCACTGGACCCAACTTAGTGCCTGACACAGGGAGGGATTCAGTCCATACTTACTAGTTTTGAGTGGAGCAGAATTGCCAGGCACGGTGATCCCCTTTGCTGTGACTAATTGGGAGTCTGATTCTCTGCTTTAAAGACAACCAGGGTGCTCTCTCTGCCCTACTTCGTTTTTCCTGTTTCCTTACTCCTCTTCCTTCCTAGCCGCCCCATGTGGATTCAAAGTTGCAGCTTAGTGCAGACCAAGGGAATACAAGGCAAAACGACCAATGTGGGATTGAGAGAAGAGAAACGAGGAATTCCAGAGGCTGGGGGAAGAGTGAGGAAAAGAGAAAGTGATTACAATTTATCACTTTAACTTAATATTTAACCTAATGAAAACAAAACCTTATCTGGAATTTGGAAGTCAATATTTTGATGGCTGGTTCAGTACCCTTTTCTTTGTTTTGACAGTCTGAGAATAATCCAGTGGGTGTGGCTTAAAAACATCGGTCACATGTGGAATTGGAATTGGATGTTACACGGGCAACAAAATAAATGTCTGTGCAATATATCTGCTTTATGCACTCAAGCAGAGAAGAAATCCACAAAGACTCACCAGTCTCCTGGTCTGCAGAGAAGACAGAAACAACATGAGCACAGCAGGAAAAGTAAGCAAAAAATATATTACTGTTGGTAATATATTCTCATCAGTATAACAAAGAAAGGAATACAGTATTTGATGAATAATTTAAAATTAATATCTAAATTAGAAAAGATACACTGAAATATGATGTGCAATATACACCTCAATATGTAATGTATACTGAACTGCAGTGGAAATAAGCTATTCTTAAATATCTTGCACCTGGCCCTCCGCCCCTGGGGCGGCTTCCAGCGCGGGCCGTGCGCCTCGCCGCCTTCCAGGGCCGCTGCTCCGCGGGCACGTGGAAGGCAGGCGCCCCATTCAGGCTTCCGGAGCTCCCGCCGGCTTGCAGGACCCGGCAGGTACCTCTTGGCGGCGGCTCACCCTTTTCTTTCCCTCCGTGAGAAAGAAGCCAGCTCTATCTGACGGCAGCAATCCTGATGGTAATTTCCTCCAGGAACACTGGCTGGTTGAGGACATGTTCATTTTTGAGAATGTAGGCTTCACCAAGGACGTGGGAAACATCAAGTTTCTGGTCTGCGCAGACTGTGAAATTGGACCAATTGGCTGGCATTGCCTAGATGACAAGAACAGTTTCTGTGTGGCCTTGGAACGAGTTTCCCATGAGTAACTGTGGGTAGGGGTGCCCAGTCCACCTCCAAAGATAAACCTGCTCCCCACAAGAACTGGCCTTTAATGTGGTCTAACTGTTCTGCTGCCTTCTTCTCTGTGCTAATATAAATACTGAGTACCAGCATGTCCACTTGAACATGCAGAGGGTTAATCCTGCTTCCTAAAGCCTCACGAACATGCCTCCTGCTTAGTTCACTTTGCATCAGATTTCCTAAGCTCCTTTTTCCCCCAGTTTTGGGATACTGTGCTTACCTCCACAAATCTCATCTCTTTCCTGGCATTCTGCCTAGGCTTTGTTTTGCCCACGGGCTCCCTCTTTTTCTAGAAGAACAGTATTCAACCTTTTAGCTATGACGACATGTAACAAAAGCTGCTTATGTACTAATAGTTGAAAGTCTGCCTTTTCAAATTCAATAAGGCATACAAATATCTGAGAGTGACTTTGTTGTATAGCTACCCTTGTGATCTACAGTAATGTAATCTTTCTAAAAGTAAAGCATTTACAAAACTCAGTATGTAAACCACTAACCAGAAACATTACTTGGGATGCATCTCTGATACCATGTTTGAGCGCCTCTGCTCTAGGTTGAGAATGACATTTTATTGTGAAGATGGGTGTGGTCCCTCTTCCCTTGAAATCTTGTGGTTTCTTTTTATATTAACTCCCCACTGCTACAGCCTAGAAGGTGAGAAGCAGATTTTTAACCCATCTGGCAGCCACTCAAGGAAAACCCAGCCCTGGCTGTTTACCTAGGCTCTCTTGGAATGAGCGTGCAGGGTGTAGGATATGAGGGTTAGGCCTTTGCCAGATTATACACGAGTTTATATTTTCCTTCATCTGGACAGGTAACTTTCTTCCTTTGTTCATAGGCAAGAAGTTCTTTAATGGATAGTATCTTTGACTGAACCTACTAGGCATGGTCCTCATGGAGTTTTGGTTCAACTGGAATCTCTGTGCCAACCCAGGATACAAACTTCCATCTGGATGCCTCTATTTCCATAGCTCCGGGGCTGCTCTAACAGTTTGATATCAGCAGACTTGTTTAAGCCTTCAACTTGATTTCCAATTATTCCATCATTTCTATTCTGAAATGACTCACCGGCATAGAAGGAAGTTTATTATATAATCAAGGTTTCAGATATCCTCCTGTAACCACCTCTACCATTCAGGAGGCCTAAAGTTGAAATAAGTACTAAATAGAAGCCTCACCATCTGAAGTCCCTTCCGTTGTTTTCTAGTTGCTTCCTCCTTCCTTTACTCCCATTCTTTCTAAGGGCTCCCCTACTGCAGTGCAAACTGGCCTTGGGCACACTTTTGCAACCAACCTACTGCCCTGGAAAGGTGGCTTCCTTCTCCAATCAGCCTGAATGAGCTTCAGTAAGCAATTGAGAGAACTGTGTTTTTCCAACAAACGGTCACATGTCCATTGTTATGGCATCTAGAGAAAAACAGAGTTATCCAATCAAGTCAGGAGCATAACCCAAGTAGATGCCTCTAGGGGCACATGGCCCCTCACATCACAAGCCAGAACCTAAGCTAAGCATTTTTTAAAATGAGTTTGAGACTAGCCTGTACAACACAGTGAGACTCCATCTCTATTTAAAAAATGAACAAAATTACCTGGGCATGGTGGTGTATACCTGTAGTCCCTGCTCCTTGGGATGCTAAAGTGGGAGGATCACTTGAGGCCCAGAGATGGTTGCTGCAGTAAGCCAAGATCACACCACTGGTACTCCAGCCTGGGCAACAGAGTGATACCCTGTCTCAAACAACAACAACAAATACATATATATATATGTGTGTGTGTGTGTGTATATATATATATAGCGACTTGAATAGGAAACCATAGTATTTCATTGTTTTCATTTGCATTTATTTTACTTCTAGTGAAACTTTTATGTATTATCAGTCATTTCTGTTTCCTTTTTTGAAAACTGCCAAATGTTGCCCTAGTAGCCAAATATATCAAGTTGCTATTCTGCCTTTTCAGTTTGATCTGAAAGAAATAAAGGCATTTAAGCAATGGAAAAAAAAAAATATCTTTAACAGGAATGTATAAAACCTGTATCTATTAAGTCTTTATTTCCTACATTAAATAAATTTGCAAATATGATAGTTTATTCCAAGCTAATCATGACTGATTTGTAAATCTAAAGTTAGAAAAGTCTTTAATCACAAGTTATCTTTATAATGACACCATAATTCAAATGTGTTATTTGTATTCATATTTTTATGAACACAAGAAAGTTGTCTGACAGAAGTTTGATGAGAGGAATTTGATTCAGAAGATTGAAATATCCTTCAACCTTACTATAAAATATCTTACAAAATGCTCTTTGATCTCACAGCATTGGAATCATCAAGGTTAAGCAAGACATCAGCATGCAAATTCTAATTAAAAGGGGTCCAGTATGATACAATTCAGGGAATTTCCACAAAAATCCTTTGGAACAGTATCTTCCCCATTTAAAAGTTAATGTGGTTTCACAGAAAATTAATAATACAATTTGAATAATAATACAATTCGAATCACTTAGCACTAGGAATACAGATATTTGCTTTTTCTTCTATAAATTTGCGCTTATTTGTTCAATGTGTTTACAGGTGCATGTGGTCATTCAATATAATCAATTGATATTTTTTAATTGTTTAATTACATAAACCTGTGCAACTATTTCGAGTCATTTGTTGTGTTAGGAGTGTACCACACAGTAAAATATCTCACCATGATAATTCAATTTAAAGGTTCTGAGGCTTCTCTCTACGTTGTGTGACAAACAGGTTCATATCAATAAGACCGGTTGGAAATCACCAATAGCGCATTGTTACTGTTCTTATTCCACCTCACTTTACTTCCATTTATTACTAATTAATATTTACATTCCTAATAGAAAATCACTAAAATAAAGAAAATTCAAATTTACCAAACTCAACTTAAAATAATGAGTTCATAGAGCAAAAGTATAAACCAACTATATTAATGAAAATAATAACTGATGAAATAGACAATCCTCCCCTCTTGGGTGCAACATCAATAGCTTAGCTTTTTGACAGCATTTCATTTGTGTTTACCCATCCTGCATTTTGTTTCCCTCAAATGCTAAATGGTGACAATACTAACATCTCTTTCATGAAGTAGTTTTGAGAATTAAATGAATACCGTAAAGCACTTAGAATCATATCTGGTACATGATTAAATATTAGCCACTATTAAATATTAATATTTAAATAAATATTAGCCACTATCATTATTATTGCTATTTAACTTTTTGCTAACTTTTTAACATCACAGAGTACTGAAAATGTGAGGCGAGATTAATTGTTATTCTCTGTACAGCCAGCTTTCAGACCTCGGAAAAATTATTCAATCACTGAGTCAATTGATTCTCAATTATTTCGGCTGTAAAATAAGCCAATAATTCAATAGTACTGTCCTGGTAGCAGCCTTGTCAGGTTTAAAAATAATGTGCATTGTTTATAGCAGCACAATTTGCAAATGCAAAAATATGGAATCAACCTAAATGCCCATCAACTAACAAGTGGATAAACAAAATGTGGTACATGTACACCACGGAATACTACTCAGCTGTAAAACAGACGGAATAATGGCCTTTGCAGCAACTTGGATGGAGCTGGAGGCCATTATTCTAAGTGAAGTAACTCGGGAGTGGAACACCAAATATCCAATGTTCTCACTTAAAAGTGGTAGCTAAACTGTGAGGACATAAAGGATAAGAATGATATAAGGAACTTTGGGGACTGAGGGAAAAGGGCAGTAGGGGGAATGACCGATAAAACATTACATATTGGGTTCAGTCTACACTGCTCGGGTAAGGGGTGCAAAATCTCGGAAATCACCGCTAAAGAACTTATCCATGTAACCAAAACCTATTGAAATTAAAAATCAATCAATGAATAAATTTTAAAATAAAAATAAAAATAATGCATCTAATTTACCCAGCACAGGCTACAATGTGCCTGTCACATCATAAGCACCTAATAATAAGAAACTTCCTACTATTAGTACCTTCTGTCTAAGTATTCTGATATTTATTTTGGCATTGACCATGTTGAACATCCTAAAGTTGAAAAATTTGACAAATAAATAATGAAAATGAATTGGCAGAAAAATAAATCTCAATTGAATTTTTAAATTATATTTGCAATTATGTTGATTCTTTCTAGAAAGGGCTCTGCAAACTATACATGCTTTACCACAATGAAGATGGTTTTTACAGTACACTTCCAAGCACTAGAAATATATGCTGAACTTTCTTTTTAAGAACATCTATAGATAAGCTCTGCTAGACAGAAATTCAAACACACTGTTTCTCCAGTTTTAAAATATACATGTGTGGGTCTGAGTGTATACACAGACACGTGCGCGCACACACACACATACCACCAACTCTAATCTCTATAATATTTGGCTCAAATCTAAGCTGGAAAGAGTCTCTACACATAAATTAGATTACAAAACAGGCTGTCAAAGATAAGTTTCAAATGAATAGGAAACAAGTAGCACGCAGAAGTGGTGGAGAGAGAAAATTGAAAGAGGACAATAAGCAAATAGGGAGAGAAAGAAACATCATCGTACGCAGGAAGGTAAACCCGTATAACTGTTCTTATAGTCAGATCCTTTTGGCCTAAGCAGAAAATTGAGCAAGAAAGCAGTTTATTTTATGTGGACAGAAACTGACTCTGTCAGCAAAATAAAGGTGATTTCTAACTTCATGTGTCAGCCAACAGTTGTGGGTAAACAAGCATTTTCAGGACAGCATTAGGAAATATCAGGAATAAACACCTTCAGAGAAAAATACAACAGCACAAGAATGGCCTAAATAAATATATTCCATTCTTCTCAATGTCTTATTATACTTTGTTTATCTTTCCTTACGTTATTGTTTTTCAAAAAGATACTTTTATTCTCTTTATAAACCAGAGTACTTCATTTCCATAGAGCTCTTGTTAGGTACCAGACATGGGACCCAATATTACATGTACAAAGATGAAAAGACACAATTTCTGACTTCAAGAGTGGGAAAACACTGGTACCATCTCTCTGTTTGATTTTCTAGGTCATCAAATGCAAAGCAGCTGTGCTATGGGAGGTAAAGAAACCCTTTTCCATTGAGGATGTGGAGGTTGCACCTCCTAAGGCTTATGAAGTTCGCATTAAGGTGAAGTATTTTTCCATTTGTATTTCATTTTACATTTAAAAAACTCAGAGAATATTGAAATGGAAACATCAAAAAATCTGCTAAGAGGCATACCTTATATGATCATCCAGAAAATAAAATTACATTTGTTGTCAAGGAAAGGTATAAATATAAATTTTAAATGTTTAATAAGTGATCAAAGAGTACATACAGTATAATTCCAGTAAAATACAAAAGAATTTATATGTTTGTACAGAAAAAAATTCCAAAGGATATTTATCAAGACTTCAAAATCAATTAACATTAGATATTTTCCATGTGCTACTTTGCTATTTCTACTTGTTTTTTAAAGCGTGCATTCTTGTATAAGACTTAAATATTTCAGAATCAGTTACTTCACAGATTCTTCTAAATTGTTTAATTCAAGAAAGGAAGGTAGAGAAGGGTTTTAGACTGATTAACCTTGAGGATAAACCGAATCTTTCATATTTAGGATTAGTAGGGAGTATAGCAAAACCCTGAAAACATTTTAGAAGCACAATTTCAGGAATCTGGGTATGTTAAATTTGTCTAGTTACAATCTTTTCTGAATCTGAACATCTTCTCTTTATTCTGTAGATGGTGACTGTAGGAATCTGTGGCACAGATGACCACGTGGTTAGTGGTACCATGGTGACCCCACTTCCTGTGATTTTAGGCCATGAGGCAGCCGGCATCGTGGAAAGTGTTGGAGAAGGGGTGACTACAGTCAAACCAGGTACAGGATTCACACTCAGGAAACATGCTCGTTCACCAACCTAAGATTTCCCAGCCTGGATGAGGAAACCGGCAATGAGGGACGAAAGCGCTTGCAGAAGGTCACCGCGCAGCCAGGACTTCAGGGGTTTCCTCTTTCCCTCTCTGCCTGCCTGACTCAAGCATGTATGTCTTCAGGCATGCATGTATTCTACCCTTCAACCATTATGTACTGAGCATCTGCTAGATGCCAGGCACCAGGTTGGAGCCTGGAGATATGTGAGGATCAAAAGGGACACAGTGCCTACCAGTGTGGCATTCATAATCTAATAACTTCATGTTA